TGCGCTGATGCTGATGCTGATGCTGATGCTGATGCTGATGCTGATGCGCTGATGCTGATGCTGATGCTGATGCTGATGCTGATGCTGATGCGATGATGCTGATGCTGATGCGCTGATGCTGATGCTGATACTGATGCTGATGCTGATGCTGATGATGAAGCACTGATGCTGATGCTCATGCTGATGCGAATGCTGATGCTGATGCTGATGCGCTGATGCTGATGCTGATGCTGATCCTGATGCTGATGCTGATGCTGATGCTGATGCGCTGATGCTGATGCTGATGCTGATGCTGATGCTGATGCTGATGCGCTGATGCTGATGCTGATGCTGATGCTGATGCGTTGATGCTGATGCTGATGCTGATGCTGATGCGCTGATGCTGATGCTGATGCTGATGCGCTGATGCTGATGCTGATGCCCTGATGCTGATGCTGATGCTGATGCTGATGCTGATGCTGATGCTGATGCTGATGCGCTGATGCTGATGCTGATGCTGATGCTGATGCTGATGCGCTGATGCTGATGCTGATGCTGATGCTGATGCGAATGCTGATGCGAATGCTGATGCTGATGCTGATGCGCTGATGCTGATGCTGATGCTGATCCTGATGCTGATGCTGATGCTGATGCTGATGCTGATGCGCTGATGCTGATGCTGATGCTGATGCTGATGCTGATGCGCTGATGCTGATGCTGATGCTGATGCTGATGCTGATGCTGATGCTGATGCGCTGATGCTGATGCTGATGCTGATGCTGATGCTGATGCTGATGTTGATGCTGATGCTGATGCTGATGCTGATGCGCTGATGCTGATGCTGATGCTGATGCTGATGCTGATGCTGATGCTGATGCTGATGCTGATGCGATGATGCTGATGCTGATGCTGATGCGCTGATGCTGATGCTGATGCTGATGCTGATGCTGATGCTGATGCTGATGATGATGCGCTGATGCTGATGCGCTGATGCTGATGCTGATGCTCATGCTGATGCGAATGCTGATGCTGATGCTGATGCGCTGATGCTGATGCTGATGCTGATCCTGATGCTGATGCTGATGCTGATGCTGATGCGCTGATGCTGATGCTGATGCTGATGCGAATGCTGATGCTGATGCTGATGTGCTGATGCTGATGCGCTGATGCTGATGCTGATGCTGATGCTGATGCTGATGCGCTGATGTTGATGCTGATGCTGATGCTGATGCGCTGATGCTGATGCTGATGCTGATCCTGATGCTGATGCTGATGCTGATGCTGATGCGCTGATGCTGATGCTGATGCTGATGCGAATGCTGATGCTGATGCTGATGTGCTGATGCTGATGCGCTGATGCTGATGCTGATGCTGATGCTGATGCTGATGCGCTGATGTTGATGCTGATGCTGATGCGCTGATGCTGATGCTGATGCTGATGCTGATGCGCTGATGCTGATGCCGATGCTGATGCTGATGCTGATGCTGATGCTGATGCTGATGCGCTGATGCTGATGCTGATGCTGATGCTGATGCTGATGCTGATGCGCTGATGCTGATGCTGATGCTGATGCTGATGCTGATGCGCTGATGCTGATGCTGATGCTGATGCTGATGCTGATGCTGATGCGCTGATGCTGATGCTGATGCTGATGCTGATGCTGATGCTGATGCTGATGCTGATGCGCTGATGTTGATGCTGATGCTGATGCTGATGCGCTGATGCTGATGCTGATGCTGATGCTGATGCTGATGCTGATGCGCTGATGCTGATGCTGATGCTGATGCGCTGATGCTGATGCTGATGCCGGTGCTGATGCTGATGCTGATGCTGATGCTGATGCTGATGCGCTGATGATGATGCTGATGCTGATGCGCTGATGCTGATGCTGATGCTGATGCTGATGCTGATGCTGATGCTGATGCGCTGATGCTGATGCTGATGCTGATGCTGATGCTGATGCTGATGCGCTGATGCTGATGCTGATGCTGATGCTGATGCTGATGCGCTGATGCTGATGCTGATGCTGATGCTGATGCTGATGCTGATGCTGATGCGCTGATGCTGATGCTGATGCTGATGCTGATGCTGATGCTGATGCTGATGCTGATGCGCTGATGCTGATGCTGATACTGATGTTGATGCTGATGCTGATGCTGATGCTGATGCGCTGATGCTGATGCTGATGCTGATGCTGATGCTGATGCTGATGCTGATGCGATGATGCTGATGCTGATGCTGATGCGCTGATGCTGATGCTGATGCTGATGCTGATGCTGATGCTGATGCTGATGATGATGCGCTGATGCTGATGCGCTGATGCTGATGCTGATGCTCATGCTGATGCGAATGCTGATGCTGATGCTGATGCGCTGATGCTGATGCTGATGCTGATCCTGATGCTGATGCTGATGCTGATGCGCTGATGCTGATGCTGATGCTGATGCGAATGCTGATGCTGATGCTGATGCGCTGATGCTGATGCGCTGATGCTGATGCTGATGCTGATGCTGATGCTGATGCTGATGCGCTGATGTTGATGCTGATGCTGATGCGCTGATGCTGATGCTGATGCTGATGCTGATGCGCTGATGCTGATGCTGATGCTGATGCTGATGCGCTGATGCTGATGCCGATGCTGATGCTGATGCTGATGCTGATGCTGATGCTGATGCTGATGCGCTGATGCTGATGCTGATGCTGATGCTGATGCTGATGCGCTGATGCTGATGCTGATGCTGATGCTGATGCTGATGCGCTGATGCTGATGCTGATGCTGATGCTGATGCTGATGCTGATGTTGATGCGCTGATGTTGATGCTGATGCTGATGCTGATGCGCTGATGCTGATGCTGATGCTGATGCGCTGATGCTGATGCTGATGCCGGTGCTGATGCTGATGCTGATGCTGATGCTGATGCGCTGATGATGATGCTGATGCTGATGCGCTGATGCTGATGCTGATGCTGATGCTGATGCTGATGCGCTGATGCTGATGCTGATGCTGATGCTGATGCTGATGCTGATGCTGATGCGCTGATGCTGATGCTGATGCTGATGCTGATGCTGATGCGCTGATGCTGATGCTGATGCTGATGCTGATGCTGATGCTGATGCTGGGAGGGGGACCGAAGCGACAATGCATGTTAAGTAACACGCAGAAAGGCGGATTTACTTTGGTTGGAAAGGCAGCACCTGGGAAGGCAGCACCTGGAGCGGGCAGCACCTGGAGCGGGCAGCAGAAGAAGTTGACGGCGCGGTGGGAGGCGGCAGGCGAGGCAGCAGAGGAGGGCGGCGAGGCGAGGTGGTCTCGGGCGGCATCTATGAAGTGCCGTACTGGCTCCACTAGATCCACCTGGCAGCGCAGCCACAGAGGGGAAATCAGATCAACTGAACGTGAACATGCAATGGTCCATAAGGTGCAGTCACAGTGTCATGCAGGCACACTGGAATGCAATGTGGTGAAATGTATAAGCACCCACCTCGTTAAAGACGTGCAGTAGGAACTCCTTGGTCACTCGCCCAATGCCCGCCCCACAGTCTGCCACGCGGGATGGTGGGGCGGTGAAGGGAAGACAGAGGAAGGGAAAGGGGGATGGTGCAGCATGCAAGAGGAAGGAGCTGAAGTTGTGATGCATGGCGCAGGGCAGATGGAGAGTGGATTCGAATTAGCGACCCCATGTCCGAGCCTTTGATCTTATGCCCGAGCCTGTGACTTACTCCCCCTCTCCTCCCCACCCCCTCCCCTCTCACGGCACGCACCCAGAGCGGCCAGCGGGCGGCCCAGTGAGCGGGCGGAGTCGAGCTGTGCGCCATACACCTCCTGCAGGAACGCCGCACTGCCCCCTTTACCCCACCCCCTCCTCCCCACCCCCTCCTCTCTCACACGCACCCAGAGCGACAAGCGGGCGGCCCTGTGAGCGGGCAGCGTCGAGCTGTGCGCCGTACACCTCGTGCAGGAAGGCCGCGCTGCCCGCCGCGTCTGTTGAGCTCACCGCGCCGTATCCCCCCAACACGCCGTCCACACTCGCCTCCACGCCCTTGGGATGCACGACGGGGAGAGGGAGCGGGGGAAAGGGAGGGGGGAAACGGGGGAAAGGCGCCTCAAAACGCGCCGTAGCCCCCCAAAACGCCGTCCAGCCTTCACGCCCTTGAGATACACGGCGCAGGGGTGGGAGGCAAGAGGAAAATGCAGTTGCGAGAAATGAGGGAGACGGGAGAGAGGAGAGGGAGGGGGAGAGGCAGCGCGCACCTCCCAGTACTTGACGCCCTTGTCGTACCATTCGCGCTTCTTCCCACCCGTTTCCGCCTCCATTGCGCCCTCCTCGCTTTTCCCTTCCCCCGCGCTCACTGCGCGCTCCCCCGCCTCCTGCCGCCACATTTCGTCCGCCGACGCATACTGCCGCCCCTCCGAGTCCACCCCTCCGCGCATCGCCTCGCGCGCGGAAAACCCGCGCGGCGCAGGTCGGGATCCTCCGCGACGGGAAGATGCGCAAAGGACGAGACGGGAAGAGGGAAGGGGGGAACGAGCAGGAGATGCGGAAGGCGGTTGCACCGGCGGGAATGGATGTGGCTGGGTTGGGAATGGGGTCAAGCCTCGCGAGACTGTGGGGCACGCTAGTTTCGTCGTGTTTTGGTGGTTTGTCTGTAGGGGCGATGGTTCGAGACTGATCGGGTGACGTACGTAGAGCGATAAGGAGTTCAAAACGATACTCCGCATAGCTCGGCGGACTGAACGGCGCGCCTGAAAACTAGTTTCTACCTACAGCTGATCAGTAATCTGTCTCGTCAAAAGTGTTTCAGTTCTCGGTAAAGCTGTTGTCAGCTTTCTCCCTACTTGACTATCACACAGGTAGATTCAATTCAGATGCACATGAGTGTAATGAGATGATACATTTGATGAACTTGACGGAGTCCATGTTCAATGCGGAAAAACAGCTCTGTGTTCCACAGGGCGCACACACACACTTCAGATTCTCATTGTCTTAGCCCATCACATGCACATAGAAAAATAGGGCACTGGCTTATTGGATTTTTGAATGTATACAAACACCAGGTGTAGAGCAACTGCTAACAGGAATTCCAGGCTCCGCTTTAAAAGAATATGTCTGCTTCAGTAATGTTCACATACACCCGAGTCATGGTTTGATGAGAAAACAAGCACTGCACTCCACTCCACCACACCGCAGGTCAATGAAGAGTGCGAGGTCCCATATGTGCACATTCCTTCTGATGCTCCTTCAAGTACTCATAAGCCTGCTTTCCAGTCATCAAGTCAGCAACAGGTGCTGGGCTCTTCCCAGCCCCCACTCCTCCAGCACTGCTCCTCACACTCGAGCTGGTCATGGCACTCGTTATGCCTGACATCCCATTCACCTTGTCACTCGCCCTGCCACTCAGCCTGTCACGCTCCACACCGCTACCCCTGGCCTGGGAGTCCCCATCGCTTGATGCAGAGCTGGCCCTTGTGCCCCGTGAAGCCATGTGCTGTGCACTGCTCCACAGCCACGCTGCCTGCTGCTGCAGGCTCAGCACCCCTGCCTTGTGAGCAAACTCTTCAGTGTGCTCTGGTGATGCTGCAGGGAGCCTGTGACCTGCCAGTCGAACATAGAGGATGTGAAAAGGTGAGGGGAAGAAACTATGCAGGATGCTACACGTATAAATTGTACAATGCAGGTGCAGCTGATCACTTCTCACCAGTTGAAGAGCTTTGATAGTTGTTGGAAAAAGAAGTGGCTGGGAACATAGCTGCTTGTCTTGTGACCCCGGCCGCAGCTTGCCTCGGCTCAGTTTGACGCTTCCCCTGACTGGTTATTCCTCCATCATATGTCAGCACGGGGCTTGAGGGCTGCGCGCTCTGGCGGGTGGCTCCCTTGTCTGTTCCTCGGTTGCTTGAGGCCCATGGCTTGGCTCTAGGAGAGCGGGAAACACTCATGGTGGCCAGCGACTCAACTGCCCGCATGAGCCCATCGAAGCCTGACTGGAGCTTCTTGTCCACTGGAGGAGGGACTACCTTCACTGGGGTCTTGTGCTCCGTCTTGCTCACACTGACAGCCATGAATGAGGTACTGGACGTGACAAATGATAAGATACAAAGGACGGGAAAATACTCACCAGTTGTCTTGATTGGCAATCGCAGTCTGGCATGGATGCTGACGTGCCGTCACATCAGCCTGATTAACAGTGCTGGGCAGCGTGACTTCAACCTTACCCAGCGTTGTTGCAGATCCTTTGCCCACTGAATAGTTCCCTTGTGCTCCATGCAACCCAATGACATGGTCACCACCAGCGTGCTCCAGCGTGTCCATGCATGCACTTGCCCCATCAGCAGCAACCACTGGTGGGTCAGTCACACACTTTTCAGCAAGGCCGTGAGGTGCACCATCAGCTCCATCAGGAATATCTCCTCCTTCCCCCTCAGGCTTGGAAACATCAGCATTGGAGCCTTGAGCCACATCCGTTCCTTCCTCATGCAGAGCTGTTGTGATGGCTCCCTTCCTTATAGCCAGTGGGACTCCAGAATTGGAACGTGATGCAAGGGGAGTGGGCGCCTCCAATCCCCCAATGCGTCCCTCCAGCCGTGAGACGTTACCTGAACCCCCTCGCATCAGCATTGCCTCCCTGGCTAGCTGAGCAGCCACCAAACGGCGCCCAGGCTCCTCACCAACCAGCTTCGTCTTCCACCAGTGGTCATCCAATATGACCCGTGGACGCCGTGTGCCCATGGAGATGCTCTCAGTGCTCGTTCGGGTCGCAAGAGGCCACTTCTCTTTGACATGCTCGGTTGAGCTGCTGCTGCCGGCGCTGTCCCTAGAGTGGCTGTGGTTGGACTGCTGCTCACTAGACTTGCTTGACCCGTCACTGGACCTCGCACCAACAACAATCTCTGACGAGTGCTCTCCCTTCATCTCTTTGGACAAGTCTATACTGAGGCTCCCGCTCAAGGCTGTTGAATGATCACACGCATAGGAGCCTCCTCCCATGCCTTCGTTTCCATCCAGCTCACATGGTCTTCTCACTTCACTGACCCCATCCCCACTAGCCTCGGTGGCCTCCTTCCCTTTGCCGAAATCATCTCCATCCTTCTCATCACCTTCTTTTACTCCAAACATCACGTTGCAACCAGCCCCTGACCCCAAACCCTTTGCATCACCAACCTCAACGTCAGCAGCTTGATCCAGGTGTAAAACGTCCTCAGGGTTCTCTATATCAGGTGGGAGGACTTGCAGGTTTGGGGTAGATAGCCGCTCTTGATGGTGACTCGTTTTGAAGAGGGATGCAGAAGCATTTTTGTATGCATCTTGCCTGCGCACCTCTTGTTCCTGCACTCAACAAGTACATAGCGTCAGCTCAATGACACATGCTTGAATCTTCCCTTACATGCTAAATCGATTCATACCTGGAGCTTCTTCTTGTCCAATTCACTCATCTCAGCCACCTGAGCTCCATTCTCTTGGTGTTTCCTGAGTGCACTTCCAAGATCCACCATTGCACCACTCATTTTCGACCCCAGTTCCACAAATGCTGCTACAGGAGCAGCCACGATCATTTGCAGGGATGGCATGTTGTTCAATGCAGTCTTTTGAGAGACTCCCTCGTGGCCGACTCCATCTGATGCCGTTGTGGCTGCAATTGCCTGCTGGCCAGTCGATCCAAATCGCCAGAGTGCTGGCTTACGTGAGATACTGCCTGCCTCCCCAATGAAGCCACCCTCAGAGCCTCTCCCTTCTGCGGAGGAGCTGCTGGATGTGGTTATTTTGGCTCCACCTGCCGCTGTCTGCACGCCAGCTGCTATATTAGCTAACTCCACATGCCTGAAAACGTCAGCTCGGGCTTGCTGTCTCTTCATCAGAACGCTCGTGTTGCCATAACCCATTATGCGTGCTTTTAGCTCTTCATGACTTAGCTTCTGCTTCTCAGCGGTTTGCACGGGAGCTATGGTTTCAACATGCGCACTCTCCACAACATCCGCCGTTGTCATCTGATTAGCAGAAATCACTTCCACAGCATGGCATTCCACATAATCACCTGTTGAATTAGCAGCACTCATCCCAGTCTCAGGATTTGCAGTGATCTCGTTAACTTGATCGGTTGGTGAACTCGTATCAACAGCATCAGAAGCTGATGTATCACCCTGCTCCAGTGAATCTTCACCCCTTTGCTCCGTGGCTGTGTCCAAGTTACCAGGCACAGATTCAGATGCTGCTTCTGGGGAGGCGTCATAATTATTTCCTGGTACTGGTTCTGTCAGCCGCTCCTCTACTGCTGCTTCTGCCAGGACTTGCTCACTGGTGCTGCTCTCGTTGGGAGAGCCGATGGGAGGAAGCCTTATGATGGTACCGGTCATGTCATACATACTTGAAATCCACTCAAGAGCCGCACTCACTGGCGTAGCCTGAACTTGAGCCTTGCTTATTGCATCTGGTTGTCACCAAATGGAACAGTATTAGTACACTCACTCGGGATGTGCACTCGCATCAGCGAAGCTTTGACATCAAGGAACATACCATGGTCCACTATGGAGGCAACTTCACCATCGTTGTTAAACACCACACAGCTTGGAACTGTGAAGTCACGCTGGCCACCTGACTTGCCGTTTTTGCTTGACAGGAAAGAGCGAGAGCTAGGAAATTGAATCCTGATTTTGCCTGTTTCCACTGAATGTGAGGCCACTTTTGAATTGTGGAGTTCCAGTACGCGACCCTTTTTCAGCTTCCATGAAAGAGCAGTGGATGGAATGCTCTCAGCAGATATCTTTGATGAGCTTCCTTGTGGAAGACGTAGAGTTGCGAAGTAATAGACGAGCAGAAAAGCATTCGAGCCGATCCCAAGGGTTCGAGACAATGACGAGACACTGCACGCGACTGAGGCATGTTCCTCTCCGCAGGACAGGTGTTCGCATGCGACGATTGTGACACCGAGCGCCTCATTTGTTGCAAATGCCCTGTCAGGGTAGCGTATATTAGTTATCTATACCAAGCCTACTAGGCATTCATTCCAGTACGAACCTCTCTGGTGATAGCGGTTTGGGTGCGCAGATCAGTTGAGCCGTAGCGTGAGCTCCTTTTTTGTTCTTGCGTATAACGGGAGCCGAGAACGCCAACAAATGCAAGCCTGCTGCTGCCACTTTTGACGGCACAGCGGAACGGGTTGTGATAACCAGACCGCCATCAAGCAGTAATCCTGTAAAAACCTCCTCTTTTTGGAGTTTCGCCAAAAGGTTATCGCAGCAATCAGGTTCGACATCTCGCAAGGAGGATACGCCGAGTCTGTTCGAGGAAACGAAAGGTGTCATTCTGACTTACAATAGGGAACCATACGGTACGATAAGCGCTTACCTGCTTAAAAAAACAACTGAGACCTGGTGTGGCTGTATGGATTCGACTGCTGGCCAGGATGAACCGGAAGTCGACCCACAACCAAAAGCCATAATGATGCCTTCTTCACCACTCACCTACGTAACCAGAAATACCCCTCACACCACGAAATTAAATTAACTGTCTGGAAACCTGAAGCTGCACTGAGGGATCCATTGCGAACAAGTGCCCAGTGACCAACAGCAGCACGATTGTGATGGAAAGCAGAGGCGGCTTGGCTCCTGATGGTCGCTGGAACTCGTCAAATCACAGACCCCTTCGCTGACGACGGAAATTCAGAGATGGCAATTTCGCTAAGGTCGTGAACAAGTGCAGTCAGTACTCCAGATATTTTCTGGAAAATATTCTCTGAATTGTATAAGCTTTCCATTTGTGCAATTACTTGCAACCATTGAAATAATGTCAACCACCACCTCCAATAAAGACTGCTCAAGGTGCAATCGTCCATGTTTGATATTTTTATCAATTGGCATCGTTCTCATTACAACTGGCTTATTACAACATTTGCATCGAGATTGAACACAAGCTAGTGCATGCTAATATCACTAGCTAAGATGTACCCTATCCAAGTGGCATTAGCAAGGCGTTCTACGCTGGGGTGGGTGGTGGGGATGTTGAGTGAGCCGTTTGAAATAGAGAAACGTGGGTGGAGGGAAATGAGCTCCAACCCACGGTTTTTGTAGTTGGAGAAGGGCGTTTAGCGCGCTTCGACGATGCCAATTGTGCAGTACAAGCAGCTTCGCTTTCACAATACACAATTTTAAGAAACACAATGTGTGTTTAAAAATCATAATATTGAGAAAGCTTGCTTTCTTATTTTTATCAATTGGCATCGTTCTCATTACAACTGGGGTCTCTGAGACATGGGCAGCGGGGGCCTCCTATGGCGTACGAGCGCCTCTGTGTGTTGCGCCGAAGACACCGCCTGCGTCGGATCTTGCAGGTTGCGGGATGCTGTGATGAGAGGCTCGACGTATGGCGTGACGTACATTTCCTTAGCTGTGTCGCTTCGCCATCTGCCCAGCCGTTTGAAGACTCTGTCTGGCACTCCAGTGTTGGCTGCTACTGTGGCCGCGCCTTTTCGGAAAGAGTGAGTGCCGAGCTGCAGCTCTCCTAGACCAACTTTTGCGAAAGCTTCCTTACACCAGTTCCGAATTGTAGTGTATGAAGGCGGCTTCGCTTGGCCTTTGCTGCTTGAAGCGTGCCCGAAGACACGAATCAACGGTCCCTCTGACTGAGGACCATAGCCGGCGAGTTGGATGAAGCGTCGGGTGCAGCGCACTGGGCAACAAGGGTCTGTCGTTGCTGCAATGGGTATCCATGTTCCGTGACCGGCCTGATCGGTCTTAGAGTGTGGTATGAGGATCCACATGACCTCTTCGTCGAATTGGATGTCTTGCCATTGTATGGCCACTAGGTCGGAGTATCGCAGAAATCCTGAGTACACGAGGATGGGGATCAGCCCTTTCTGAAATTCCGCAGGGTCGTCAGACTGCAGGTAACTCCCGGCCATGTCGCGGACTTGTTGGATCGATACGGGTTCCTTCAGACGAGTAGGGCGGGGGCAGTGTCGTTTTGCACAGTCGCGGACTTGGGTGGTAAACGGACCGATTGTTGGGCATTTGTTTCCAGTCATGCGATGGGCGAAGCTTACTGCCGAGCACGTCAGCTGCACTACGGACAGGGTGGCTTTGCGTCGGATTGCGTGAACCAGGTATAGTGCGAGTGTCATGTCGGAAGCTGGAAGAAAGGAGAGATCCACTTTTGTGCAAAATGCTCGAAACTTGGCCCAGTATGGTTCGTATGTCCGGATCGTAGAATCGGCGCGTGACTGCGCGAGCATTTTGATCAGTTGGTCGTGTAACTTTGGGAGCAAATCTGAACACAGGAGTGGACAATATGCATTAGTCAAATACCACTCGCAGTGCAATGATTGGGCTATGCGGTAGTCCCGTGCCCGAGAAGGCAGTAGAATGGGACCCTATATCTAGGCATTGGCTTCCGTGTGTGAGAGGGATGTGCGCGTGGATGTGTGGAGCCCAAGTACATAGGGAGGGTTGCAAAAGTGGCCACCAACTTGCGCCTGGCCAGTGCGGGACTATTAATGTGAGTGATGCATGGGTGCGTTGTGCATGGTGGAGGACGGCTGGGACCAGTTGGGGTGGGGGGAAGGCGAAGTTGTTTTCGGCTGTCCATGCGATCGAGAACGCATCAACTGCGATGGCTTCCGGGTGGGGGATCTTGGTGCAAAAGCGCGAGAGTTGGGTGTTGTGAGAGTTTGCAAAGAGGTCGATGGAATGCGGACCCCAACGACGTTCTAAGATGCGAAACCACGGCTTCTTCAACGCGTAGTCGTCGTGGTCGACCATTTTTGAAAGCTCGTCAGCATGTGAGTTGAGCTCTCGCGGGATCCATTCAATGATCAAGCGCGTGCCGAGCCCCATGCATGTTCGGATGATGCTTTTGCAAGCCATTGTGAGGTCAGAGTTGTGAGAGCCGCCTTTGCGAAGGATGAAGAATACGCCCTGGTTGTCCACCCGCACGAGAACGTGTTTTTGCTTGATCTTGTTGGCGTACGTTTGGAGCGCCCAAAGGACGTCTTCGATCTCCCGCCGCGTGCTGGACGTTGCCTGTAGTGGCTCTGACATGGTTGCGCTCGCTTCTTCGAGGCCACCCGGAAATGTAGTTAGAGTGGCGCCCCAACCATGAGAGCTGGCATCCACATGAATTACCGCATCGTAGCTGTTCCGGACGTGGAAAGGTGCACCGTTGAACCGGTCGAACTCCTCAAGCCAAAAGTGTAGCTCCTCTGCTGCGGCTGGGGGGATGACCACGTTGCTTTTCCATGACGGTGCGTCGTTGATTACTTGTAACATGGCGTGGCTGAATGCGCGAGCGGTCGCGCCAAGTGCGACCCCCATTGATGCGAGCATGCCTGTGATTCTGGCCACGTGGCGGACCGGGACTGGTCGGCATGCCTTGCTTGCGCTCAGGAGGTTTTGGATGGTTGCATGTAGTGAGGCTCGTCGGTCGGGACCGATGGAGAATCGACCGGTATCGGTTTCCAGCTCTACACCCAAAAATCGTAGGCGTTGCGATGGTGACAGCTGTGATTTCTTCGCGTTTATCACGAGTCCTGCCTCTTTAAGGTCCAATATCACACGCTGGCAGATCGCTTGCGCATGGTCTTTCGACTGACAGAGGAATAAGATGTCGTCCACGTAAGGGATGACTCGGATGCCTTGTTCTCGCCAGCGCCGAGCCAGTTGCTTGATGAGCTGCGTGAAGACGAATGGAGCTGTCGCGAGGCCAAATGGCAGTGAACGAAATGCGTACGTGCGCCTCCCAAATTCGAAGCCGAGGAACTTCCAGCATGATGGGTGGATGTCGATGTGGTGGTAACCGGATTTAAGGTCAATGGAGAACATCCAATCCCCAACGCGTGCCAGGTCCGCCACGCGGTTGAGCCCCTCGTACTTGAACTTGGGGACGATTAAGCTTGCGTTGACTTTCCGCAGATCAAGAATGAGTCTGCATTTGTCTTTTTGCTCGACCACATTGAGTGGACTTATACACGTCAGCTCCGTTGCGGGCATCTGGACTGCTGCTCCGGTCTCTAGGAGTTCTTGGATAGCGGTACGCGTGAACGTAGCATGCGTGTTTGCCCCGACATGGTTGCGATCGTGGAAGGGTTGTGGTGGGCCGTGGCTCCATGGTAGCCAATAACCACTGGCGATGACGGAAAGGACGAGGCTGCAGGGACACCAGGAGCTCCACCACGCAAAGGTCGCACGAAGTCGACCGCGCATTTGTGTAATGGTTTTGTCCGTGACGGCAAATTCATACGGATCGTCGTAACATACCGCCTCGCAATGTCGTGCTCCTGTAATTGAGGCAAATGGGGTAGGGTTGGGAGTTCCATTTGACGCATGCATGTGCGTGTGCATGTACGCGCAATCGTTGATCAATGGTGTGAATGAGATTGCCTATCTATCGAAAGGACAACAAATATGTCGTGCGCGCGCCGGCGCTTCTTCTTCTTCTTCTTCTTCTTGGTTTTTTTTTTTTTTTTTTTGCTCCATGGGCACCCTGATCATGGTAGGCAAGTAGGTGTCACTCTCTGGACCCCCTCCTTTTTTTTTTTCTTTTTTTTTTTTTGTCTCATCTAGCACCGTGGCTAGCCCTTTTTCCGATACATCACATCGCGCTTTTTTTTTTTTTTTTTTTTTGCTCGCCTTGTCATCCACTTGGTAAGACGTGGTTGTGCATGCCTTTAGTGCATGTGGGCTGGTGCTTTGAACCATGGACATGCGTGTCCACCGTGCTTTGTCTTGTTCTCTCTCTCTCTCTCTCTCTCTCTCTCTCTCTCTCTCTCTCTCCCTCTCTCTCTCTCTCTCTCTCTCTCTCTCTCTCTCTCTCTCTTCCTCTCTCTCTCTCATGCTCTGCACCTCCTCTGTGTGTCTAGAGGCTCTTTGCAAAATAGTAAATCAAGGAACTTTTTATTAAATCAACCAACACACATTGCAATGCTTCCTAGCATTCATCACCCCACCGGGTGGCCAAATACATGGGACCGAGGGGTTGTTGTTCCCCTTCCCTATCCTAGGCCCAAAGCCTATTACTACCCTTCACTAGGGCTGGCCTCTTGCCATCGCAAACCCCTAGGGCTGCCCACGGTTTTCGCACTCAAGAGTGCACCGTGCCTAGCGCCCAAGGCGCCTAATCCCTTGGCCCGCTCCTACACCACCGGAGCGGGTCCTTGGCCGCCATGCCCGTTCCTAGGGCAGGCACTTGCCACATGTCCCGGCTGGCCGCAGCGGAAGCACGAGCCCCGAAACCCACGACAATTGGCCGTGGGCGGGGGGGCCCGCTTGGGTAAGAACGGCATCGGCCCGTTGTTTCCGCCGCGGGTGACACGAGCGTATGCACTTGCCGCGCGGTCCATTGCAGCCATATCCGCGACCGCCTGCTTGAAGGGTCGAGAGGTCAGCAGGCTCTTCTGCTGGTACAGTTTGAAGCGTTTCGCCGTGCGGAAGTCGGAAGCGTCCTCCACTTGAAGCACCTCGAAACGCCCCGAGATGAGGTTGAGCGCGTGTGAGATGAGTTCGAGTCCGCTTGCCGAGTCGCCTCGCTGCGCCTTGTATTCCGCGTGCAGCAGGTACGCACGCAAGTCCTCCAGCAGCTCCGCTTGCTCTCGCACGGAGTCGTTGACGAAAGTCGCCGCCGAAAAGGTGAGGTTAGAAGAAGGAAGGGGGGGGAGGTTTTCCGTGCCAATAAAATTAGCAGTGTTGACTGGAGCCTCACCAGCTTCATCTTCAGAGTCGTCGGTGTCGTTGTCGACCGCCGGAGCAGGGGGAGCGGCTGTCGCTGCGTCGTTGTCATGCCGGTTCGTACGTGCTCCTCGCGTGCCTTTTTCCTTTTTCGCGTTTTCTTTTTTAGCCGACGCAGATGCAGCGGGTAGTGCAGTTTCCGCAGCTGTAACGCTGACGGGCTGCTGCTGTAGAAGGGATAGCAGCGCGTTGACCTGGTCCGGGGTCAACGCCTGCGTCAGTGCAGGGGCGGTCGTCGCGTCAGACGAGGAGACCGCAGTCCGCCTCCTCTGGCGCTGACGCGACGGTCCAGCCGCGGGTGCTGGCGTGTGCTCGGCGTCAGGTGCGTGTGCCGCGCCAGCTGCCGTCGCCACTTGCGCCGCAGGTGCCACAGGCGCCACTGGCGCCACTGGCGCCACTGGCGCCACAGGGGCCGAAGGGTGCTGCTGGGCGTCGGCACTTTTGTTGACCTCGAGCCCGCCCAGCAGCACGTCCACTGCAGTCGGGGCGGGCGGTCCATCTTCTGCCCGGCGCTTGTTACGGCGGTCGCCCGCAAAATCGCGGGTGTTACGGTCGGAGTCGGAAGCGGGGTTGGACGAGTTCCCGTTGTTAAGTGTCGTCGTCGGTGCCATCGTTGATCGATTGAAGTTAAACATGTCGCTAAGTAAAGTCGAGGGTGACTCGCCTCTAGGAAGCGATTTTGTTCTAGCCAGCTTGGAAGGAGAGAAAGACTACGTGAGCGGAAATGTTGAGTGAGCCGTTTGAAATAGAGAAACGTGGGTGGAGGGAAATGAGCTCCAACCCACGGTTTTTGTAGTTGGAGAAGGGCGTTTAGCGCGCTTCGACGATGCCAATTGTGCAGTACAAGCAGCTTCGCTTTCACAATACACAATTTTAAAAAACACAATGTGTGTTTAAAAATTATAATATTTACAACCTTTCCATACATGAGCAAAGTTTGATACTCATTCCATCCAGGAGATCCGACTCTGACACAATGCATTTTGTGCACTGAAGCACTTCCATTGATGACAACACAGCACAAATGCCCCCAATAATCACGTCCACATGGCCTTCCCACATGCCAGGTACGCGAGCTCTCTCCTCTCGTGTCATTCCTGCGCACCTGTGTAGTATCCCTTTCGCCATTTCCACATCCAAAACGAAACCTTGAACTTTCTCCCTTGTGTATGGAACGCCCTGAGCAAGGGCGGCAAGAGTTGTCAGTATCCCTCCTGTGCCCACCACCACTCTCTCCACTCCACATGTTGCCACTCCAGACGAAATACTCCCTCCTACTTGATCAATGTGCTTGAACCAGTCCGTTGACAGTGCAGGAGAGAGTTTGCAGCGGTAGTCCTCCCTGGCAGCACGGCGAGTGGCTTCAATGCTCAATGGAGAGGTGGGGTTGAGGTGGAGGGAATAGGAGCGCGATAAAGAGGAGGAACCGATGTCAATCGAGACAATAGTGTGAGGGCCAGAGATAATGGGTGAAGACGAGGACAAAGATAAGGAACTGGAAACTTCATCCCTGAAGGGAGGAGAGATGGTGCCTAAGGCCACCTCTGATGAACCACCGCCAATGTCTATCACTGCAAGAGGTGCTCCCGTCACAACCCCCACCAATACGCTGCTGACTGCTGCGGTGGCGCCAAGGAACGTCAGCTTGCCCTCTTCTTCCCCTGAAATGATCTCAGGAGTTGAGCCAATCACTTGTGCGGCTGGGATGAGAAGATCTGCAGCATTGGCTGCACGCCTGGCCGCTGACGTGGCGCACATGTGCGTTCGCGAGACTCCATGGTCACGACATAGGCCAGCAAAGTCTCTCAAGATATCGAGACACGTGGAAACAGTGTCAGGAGAAAGGGAACCAGTGCGTGCCACGTCAGCTCCAAGAGTCACTGAGCGAGTTTCGCGAACCAGCTCTCTGCTTTGGGAACATGAGTGACTTCCTTCGCCGCATTCGTATATGAGAAGTCTGAGCGCATTAGTTCCACAATCTATAGCCGCCACACGTGCAGTAGCGGAGCCGTTGCGAGAGTTAAGATGTCTAATTATGCTCAGCTGCATCTCATGACTAGCGCTGATCCACGGATGTCCTTGCTTTTCGATGGGGCGTGCAATTTTTCCAGACTGAAGGGGAAGTGGGGACATGAAGTCCCCATGGTGCCTTGAAATCTTGATTTGCTGCGAATCGGGAATTACGAAGGTCGCTGATCGTCTTCGGCTAAAAACAAGACGTTGTGACCCCACGCTACTCGACACCCTCCCACAAATCCTGTGGCATAAACTGGGATGAATGCTGCTCACTAACAAACATCCTTGACTCATTGGAGCAACTAGGAAATGCACGGTCTGGCCAACTGGCGTTGTGTGCCCTGGCTGGTGCATACGCAGCTGTCGCTGAAACATATTCCTAGAAGTGGAGGGAAGAGGAACAACCCGCTCTCGATTTAGGTTCGCGCATTGACATTTTGAAAATGCACTACCGAGGAACCGCTGACTCAAACGCCTAAGCTTGATCTGTGACCCGTGCAGCACATCATCTCAGTTTGGGGAATCTTGCAGCCGCCTTTCAATTATATACACATTTCGTGAATATTTAGTAGTAACAAGGCAAAGAACGAATGCAGGAAATGACATTTGGGCCCAGGAACTCATGACAAAAACCCTAAATCCTAGCATCCCACAGCCAATCTTTCGTAAGAGAGCATGCGCACTTTTTCTTTGGTCCCAAATCCGCGTGGTTCCTTTACAGTCCATGCGTAGGGAAAGAGTGGACACAGAAGGTAGTAGCATACTGAACTCACGGTAACAAAAATAGTAGTTGACAAAGTCACTGCATTGAAAAGGGCGCTAACGTTTGAGAGTACAAGCTCAACAAAACCAATCCGTCGACATCTTATCGGTTGATCTCCTCGTCCAGGTCGATGTGGATGTACTCTGTGTCGTCTTCAAGCCGCTTGCGTGAGCCGCTCCCAGCTGGCACTGGCGTCAGAGGCAGACCCAGGCGGCTCTTGCCCTTCGAGGACCTCGGCCGGCACTGAAGAGGAGGGAAGAGGAACAAGGGCCGAACATTTGTGAAGTGAGGGACCCCGGACCGTTAATGGCTTACACATGAGACACCACACCGCATCTCCTTGAGAACAATGGATTTGCAGATGAGAACAGACACGAAGTCGTAACTTACGTTGCCAAAGGATCCAATGGTCCTCTTTCCCTTCGCGGTACGCTTGTCCCCACGACCACAATAGACTGCACAGACCGATCATCCGAGACCACAACAGCAGTACAATGTAAGAACTCCTTTTCTGGAAGAACTGGCGAGGGGATAATCGTCACCGCCTATATCATATCTCCTCAAATTGAACTATGCTGCCGCTTTCACGAAAACTAAACGAAATGCGAGACGACTGCAGGAGCTATTTAACAACGCGAAACCCTAACCAACTTGCCTTGTGGATAGCCTACAACCTTCAGCGCATTCTGATTCACGGGCGCTGCACAGGCAACCTGCGACGATGACTCTGACAGAGTCGCGCAACTCGCAAGAGAGGCTGCGGGAGCGGAGACTACGAACGACGAAGCAAGCAGAGACGCCATGGCGGACAGGTGGAGGTCCAGGAATGTGCTCTTGAAGTTGAGTTTGTCCTACAGAAGGAAAATCCGCCGGTGGCGAGGGGAAGTCGGTTGAGGGTGGTGGTGATGAGGTGGGGAGGCAGGAAGGAGGGAGCAGCGAAAGCGACGGTGCGGATTTGACAAGGCTTGTGTGATTGGTGGGTAGCAAGAATGCCACGTGGCAAATGACCCCTCACCAGTTCCGGCCAATGGTCATGAAGCTGTACTCGTAAACACTAAAAATGGAAATTCATTACCACTTGCTTTCTTTTCTAGAGGTACTTCAAATTATCTCTTGCTGAGTAGAAACAGCTAGAATTACATTATCTAACGAAAGTAGGCATATGAGGCATATAGATAGGTTTCACGACTTTTCCTAGCGTTGGAATATGACACGAATTCTATCATTGCGAGGGCCGAATATAAGGTAAACAGCCAGGATGACAGAAATGTCGGCGAATTATGATATTTTCGAGTGAAGGGAAAATTGTTCTGATACTTTCTTTGATTTACAGGCACAATGCTCGGTAATCTAGTTCACCTGGGCGTACCAGATGCCCTGGATCTTGACTTCCTTAGGAACCTTGGCACCCATGTCAGTGTCGGAGGGCTGGACGCTGGTGAACACACCACCGATCTCGCCAGTCTCAACGTTCGACTTGGCGACGCTGAAGGTGATGTTGCCGCTCAAAGCCTTGTACGACTTCTCGTTCTCCTTCCTCAGGGCCTCGTTGTCACCGAAGCCACCAGCAGGGAGGGCAACGGCAGAGTCGTACCCTTGGGCACCACCACGGCCCTTGGGGTCAAGGAAGGTGGCACCACGGTAAGATGGCACCAGGAAGGACCCGCCGAAGCTGTCGGGCGTGCCGGAGGCAACCAGCTCCTTGATGGTGAAGAGGAACGGCACCCTCTCGCCACCGGAAAGCTGGACGGTAACAGCGGCGTAGTCAATGCCGTCAACCTCGGTGAACGTAACCTTGTCGCCGGAGACCTCAAGGGGACCCTCGATCTCGTCCAGAGTGTATGTGAGGCGGGTCATGAGCTTAGTCTTCTGGAACTCCTCGCCCTGGCCCTTGAACACGGACTCGGCCTTCACGGTGAAAGAGGTGGGCTCCAGGCACATCTTGGTGAGCTGGTACTTGCCGGACTTGAAGGCGAAGCCATCAACACCACCAGCGATGATGGGGCACTGGTTGGCGAGGCCGCTGCCCTTCACCTCCGAGTAGGTAAGGCTCTGGAGCTCCTCGAAGGTCAGCCTCGGAAGCTCAGCCTGGGCAGCCTGTAAAACACAAACACGAATTTTTAGGTCAGCAAATGTGCTCCTAGCAGAAAACAAATTCACAAAAGAATAAGAAGTATCACTTACCGATGCAAGCAGGGCGGTCGAGGCGAGAGCAAGAGCAGCGGTCTTGCCGGCATCAGCAGCCTTCTGGACAAAGCCGCGGACGTTCTCCTCCAGGGAGCAGGACACCTTGGAAGAGGCAGCCTTCAGGCCGAAAGCCTGAGACACGGGAGCGGCCTTCAGGGAGGCGGCATTGACCTTAGGCTGCACAAGGGACGCGGCCTTGAGGCTGGCGGAGACGGTGGTGGCAGCCATGGTTGCGGGATGCTAGGAAGACACCTGCAAACCAAGAATGCTACCAAAGAAAATCGGTCTGAACGGAGTAGGAGGCAACCAGAGTAGATCCCAAGGAGGAACGAAAGAGATGGTCTCTCGAGGGGGGGTGATTTGGATGGGCGAAACTGCATTATCCACGAACAGATGTCGCCACGATCGTCAGAACCAATGTGGGGACGCCACGAGGGCAGTTGGTTCGTTTCTCGCCACCAGGTTTAGCACGCTGATTTCCTCGATGGTCGCACGGGTAGTGGCTGGGTGTGCTGGTTGCGGTAACTTTCGCCCAACCATTTCGCGTGTGGGTTCGAAACCCCGCCTGTATACGCTCTTTACGCGTTTCAATATTGAAGATTTGATGTGAATTAGTTTCGTCTCTAAACAATTGATTCAGGTGTACACACTCAATCAACCTACCGCAAGTGAGGGAGCGACAGTCTGGCGCGCCTGGTTCGCGAACCATCTCCTCGGCTCCAGAGAACGCCGATCAAATACTTCGTCCAATTTCTTGAAACGACTAGACGGCAGGCCGTCGATTCGCCACTCCTTTCGAGGGTGTCTAGTCCGTCTCAGTCCGGAATTTGCGGCAGCCGTTTTCAGCTTAGGTGGATGTCTCCAATTCGATAGGCGTTCTTTCCGTTACCCTTGTTCTATTGGTCAACCCTGATTGCTGCCACATAGTCTGCTCTAGCATCAGCGCGTGCGGAAATTATGGTCTGCCTCCCCCACGGTGCAAGGACTCCCCGCATGGCAGCTTCAGGCAGGCGGACATGCGCGGAGCAGGCATGGGCCGCGGGGGAAACATGGGGGGCATGGGGGGAATGGGGATGCGCGGGCCAGGCATGCGGGACATGGGCATGCGGGGGCCAGGCGCGCGGGAGGGGCCGGGCGTCGTACGCGATACAGGAATGAGTGAGCTCGCGCTCCGATCCATGGCGATGCGGGACCCAGGAATGCGCGACGGAGGGATGCATCGCGGCGGGAGAGGCCCCGCGGCGTACGGCGGCGCGTACGGCGGCGCATATGGCGGAGGCGCGGGGCCGCGGCGGGAATGGGGCGCGCAGGAGCAGCGGCGGTGGGGGGCCGGTGGTGGTTACGTTTCGGGAATACCGGCGTCGGGAGTAGCGCCGTACGATAGTCCCCCCGAGACGACATACGTGGAGATGGAGGACGATCCGACGGGCCACGACTCGCCGCCGTCGTATCACAGAGCGGGCGACGTGAACCCGCACATCGCCATGCTTAGGCGACGCCGCGCCATGTACAGCAGCAGCAGATCGCACTACCTATCGGCGCTTATCAAGCAGAATCTTCCTTACATAGTCATCGCGGTTCTGCTCATTCTCTACTTATTCAAAACCAGCGACAACAGCTAGCCCAGCCTCGGGTGGGGGGAATGGCGCAGCAGGTGGGGCGGGCGCGGGAGGGGGAGCCGCAGGGGCAGGGGCTACGTCGGCAGCGGGAGAGAAAGCGGAAGCAGGGAAGGGGGGCGGGGGGCAAGCGGGGGCGGGGCAAGCGCAGTCAGGGGCAGGAGCAGCGAAAAATCCAGTGGACCCGCGGGTTCTGCAGCAGCAAGGGGGCGCGCAGCAGCAGCAGCCACGAGTTGAAGCTGCAGGCGCGACAGGCGCAGCGGGCGGGGGACTGATGGCGGGGGCGGCGGGAGGGGGACTGCGGCTGGGGCAGCCGGCGGGGGGCGCGCAGGGGCGTCAGGCGGAGGCATGGCGGCCACAGCAGGGGGAACAGGCGCAGCAGGGGCCGCAGGCGCAGCAGGAGGGGGAGCGGGGACCACTGCAGGGACGGCGGGAGCAGCAGGGGGGGGAGACGTAGACGCTTCTTCCAGCCACTTCGACCCGCAATCCGATCTGAGTGACACGGAGAAGAGGCGCGAACTGGTGAAGGCGATTCTAGAGGACCCCAACTCGAAGGTGGCGAAGGAGGTGACGCGCAACAACGTTTTCCGCGAGACATGCCCACGTTTGGGTTCGTGCAGTTCGCAGTTACCGCATGGGCGAGAGCAAGTTCGCCGTGGTGGGGCTGGCGTCACGGGTGCTCAAGACGTCGCGGGAACTGGGGCGGTGCCTGTGGAAGGAGAAGCACGGCGGACATAGAGTCACGGGGCAGCTTGTGGGTGAGTAGGGGGAGGGAGAGGGGGGAGGAGGGGGAGGAGAGGATGAAGGCTGAGGTAGGGCAGTGGGTTGGCAGGGGCGTTGCCTGTGGATTATGAAAGCAGGGGGCCATAGGGTCACAGTTACTGGGCCTCTTTGGTGAGTGGGGAGGGAGCGGGGAGGGGTAGATGGGGGAAGGGGAGGGGGAATGGAGGAGGGTGAGGTAGGACAGTGGGAGAAGGACGGTAGGCACATGGCCATGGGGGTAGAAGGGGGTGAACCTGAGAAGGGGGTGAACCTGAGAAGGGGGTGAACCTGAGAAGGGGGTGAAGCTGAGAAGGGGGTGAACCTGAGAAGGGGGTGAACCTGAGAAGGGGGTGAACCTGACAAGGGGGTGAACATGAGAAGGGGGTGAACCCGAGAAGGGGGTGAACCTGAGAGGGGGGTGAACCTGAGAAGGGGGTGAACATGAGAAGGGGGTGACCTGAGAAGGGGGTGAACCTGAGAAGGGGTGAACCTGAGAAGGGGGTGAACCTGAGAAGGGGTGAACCTGAGAAGGGGGTGAACCTGAGAAGGGGGTGAACCTGAGAAGGGGGTGAACTGAGAAGGGGTGAACCTGAGAAGGGGGTGAACATGAGAAGGGGGTGAACCTGAGAAGGGGGTGAACCTGAGAAGGGGGTGAACCTGAGAAGGGGGTGAAGCTGAGAAGGGGGTGAAGCTGAGAAGGGGGTGAACCTGAGAAGGGGTGAACCTGAGAAGGGGGTGAACCTGAGAAGGGGGTGAAGCTGAGAAGGGGGTGAAGCTGAGAAGGGGGTGAAGCTGAGAAGGGGGTGAAGCTGAGAAGGGGGTGAACCTGAGAAGGGGGTGAACCTGAGAAGGGGGTGAACCTGAGAAGGGGGTGAACCTGAGAAGGGGTGAACCTGAGAAGGGGGTGAACTTGAGAAGGGGGTGAACCTGAGAAGGGGGTGAACCTGAGAAGGGGGTGAACCTGAGAAGGGGGTGAACCTGAGAAGGGGGTGAACCTGAGAAGGGGTGAACCTGAGAAGGGGGTGAACCTGAGAAGGGGGTGAACCTGAGAAGGGGGTGAACATGAGAAGGGGGTGAACATGAGAAGGGGGTGAACCTGAGAAGGGGTGAACCTGAGAAGGGGGTGAACCTGAGAAGGGGGTGAACCTGAGAAGGGGGTGAACCTGAGAAGGGGGTGAACCTGATAAGGGGGTGAACCTGAGAAGGGGGTGAACCTGAGAAGGGGGTGAACCCGAGAAGGGGGAAGGAGTTGGAGATGGGTGAGATGGATGGAATAGGGGAAGGTGGTGAGCAGGATGGGGTTGGGAGGGAGATAGCAGTGGAAGTGAGAGGGAGTGGGTCAACAGAGAATGCGTGATGGAGTTATATTATGAAGAGAGTGGATGCACTTGGATGGAATGAAAGTCATTTGAGAAGCTATACCTCCCCCCTTCCCCCTCCTCAAACCACATCTTTCCTCCTCTTCACTGAACGCTTCTCTCCCCCTCACTCCCCACCTCTCTCTTTTTGCCCACATCTCCTCCCCCGCATCCCAAACCCCACTGCTCCCACCCTGCGCAGCCTACTACCCTGGCACCACAACAAGCGGTACGAGGCGGTGGTGCTGGTGTGCGAGCTGGAAGAATCCACCGCGCAGGACTTTGGCGGAATCCTGGTGGTGACAGTGGACAAAGAAGACATTGTCTCCTACATAGAGGACCAGGGCCAGTACCCCTCTGCCAACCCCACCCCGCCCTACCCCCACCGCCTCACCTACTGCTCGCCGCCGCTCGCCACGAAGCTCATCCCGATGCGCGTGTACGAGGGATCGAGTCCATCTGACGTGGGGGTGGACCGGGTTGTGCTGTACGACGCAGGGGCGCTGGATCCGGAGATAATGGGGCTGATAGAGGGGTTTGTGGAGGGCGGGTACGTGCAGATCGTGGACATGCGGCGCGTGGAGCAGTTTGATATATGGGAGTCCGGGCGGCTGCTGGCGATGAATGATTGTGTGCACCAGCACGCGTTCACCTCCCAGTGGGTGTTCTTTGCCGAGATGAGCGAGTACTTCTCGTCACGGTCTGGGGAGGATATGGTGGCGGTGCTGAGCCGGTATGGGGGGCGGCCGTACGTGTCGTTCGGGAGCCGATGGTGGTCCCTTGAGAAGTGCGTTCAGGTGGACGGCGCTGGGGGAGGGGTACGGACGGGTGCGGGTGGGAGGAGCTTGCTTGGTGTGGCGGGTGGCGGGGGTGGAGGAGGGTCAGCGTTAAGGACGGTGGTTAATAGCACGGGAGCTGGTGCTACTGCTGGTGCTGCTGCTGGTGGTGCTGCTGCTACTGCTGGGACTGCTGGGACTGCTGGGACTGCAGGTGCTGCTGGTGGTGGTGCTGCTGCTACTGCTGGGACTGCTGGGACTGCAGGTGCTGCTGGTGGTGGTGCTGCTGCTGCTACTGCTGCTGGTACTGGTGGTGGTGCTGCTGCTGCTACTGCTGGCGGTACTGGTGGTGGTACTGCAGGAGCCGGTGCTGCTGCTGGTGGTATTGGTACAGCTGGTACTGCTGGCACTGCCGCTGCTGCCACCACTGCCGCTACAACAACCACCATTACCACCACCACAGCAGCAGCAGCAGCAGCAGCCCAGCCGCCCCCAGCAGTCTCACCAGTGTGGGCAGTGGAGCGCATGCGCTTCCACTGGCCGCAGCTCTTCTGCACGAACAAGGACGAGTACCCGCGTGCCGAGATGTGCCTGGGTGAATTCGGCTACCGCCGCGTGGCCGTGGACCCACGGCAGGTCATGACCGTCCTCGTGCACCGCACCAGCGTGCCCGAGATGGGCGGCGACGACTTGGACGCTAGTGAGGCGCGGTTCAACCGGTACCCGCTGCTGACGGAGGAGACGAGGAAGGCGTGCCAAAGGGAGGTGCGGCCGGGGGAGGTGGTGGAGTGGTGGGTGCGGGACGCTGAGGTGGCGGAGATTGCAGAGAAGGCGAGGAAGAGCCCTAAGGGACGGCCGCGGGTTGCGTCTGAGTTGTCTTCGTCTCGGAGATGACAGGCAGGGGGATGAGGTGAAGGTGGGAGGTTGAGTTGAGGAGGCATGGGGAAGCGGGGGGTAGGGAAGTTGGGCTTGGATGATTATTGGGTGGGTGGCTGGGAGGATTAGTGCAGTTGTTTGTAATCTCCCTGATGTCTTGCTCTTGAGGAGGCTGCCTGCCTGTCCACCTGGCATACTCTCAAAGTTAGCGAACAACGGAATGATTGGAATAGAAACGAATGGGGTACAAATGAGCAACCCTAGAAGCTGTACCCCCTAGAGTGCAACTCATTATAGCCTATCATATCAATGTTCAACATTTGACACACCCCCATAGGCTAAGTGAGGGGCATCAAAGCAAGCAAGGTGAACAAACGGTCACAAGACCAGTCAAACCAAGAACCAAGGCAAGCTCAGGGTGGATCTCAAGGACACCACACAAATTCCGAGCGCAAGCAAGCGGCCACAAGGCCAGTTCAAGAGTTCACTAGGATATAAATACAAAGCACAACAAGCAGAGCAAGCAACAGGACTACACCAACCGAGGGCCTACCTCAACAAGCCCCAACTGCACACAGAACCTGTGGTGGTCACCAAGCGCCAAGGCCTTGGTGAAGACGTCTGCAGTGTTGGCCTCTGAGGCCACAAAGTCCAGGCGTGCCTGACCGCGTCGCTGCAGCTCTCGCAGGAGGAAGTACCTCATGTCAATATGCTTCACTCTGCTCTCCAGTCGAGGCTCTCGACACAGGAGGATCATGGCCTTGTTGTCAGCGTACAAGGTCGGTGCAGAGCGAGGCCGCTCACCAAGGTCAGCGAGCAAGAAGGTCAACCAGCGAAGCTCCTGTGCCGCCATGGCACCAGCGTAGATCTCTGCCTCTGCACTGGAAGTAGCCACAGACGACGACCGTGTAGACCTCCACGACACAGCACCAGCTCCCAGACTGAAGCAGTAACCCTGAGTCGAACGCTGAGTCTCCACGTCGTCAGCGTAGGAAGAGTCGCAGTGACCAGTCAACGCCACTGGCTGAGTCCCTCCAAGCACAAGCCCCAAGCCTGATGTAGTCGCCAGGTACTTCGCCACCCTCACAGCAGCTGTCCAGTGGACAGGGCGGTGTCTCCCAGTCGCAACAAAGCGAGAAAGGATGCTGAGTGGAAAGGCGAGGTCCGGTCGAGTACAAGTCATCAGGTACATGAGGCAGCCCACCAGCTCTGCGTAGGGTCCACTGGACTCAAAGGGCTCGTCAGGAAAGGGGCCCGTAAGTCTGTGGTCAACAGCAAGAGGAGTGGGCTGTGTGGTGGAGAACTGGAAGTGGAACCGCCGAAGGACCTGCTGCACCATGTGTGACTGCGTCAGTGTGATGGTGCGAGCGGCTCTGTCCCGGGTGATCTGCAGGCCAAGGTAGCGCTGCAGCTCACCCAGGTCAGTGCACTTGTGTCTCTTCTGCAGTTCGGACTTCACCTGAGCCAGGGCTGCCCTGTCTGCTGTAGCAAACACCAAGTCGTCGACGTAGACAAGGATAAAGAAAGGAGTAGAACCCGCTCGAACAAACAGCGACGGGTCGGCGGAGGACGGGCTGAACCCAAGGTCACAAAGCGTGGAGCGAAGAGTGTCGTGCCACTCACGGGGCGACTGGCGGAGACCATAGACTGGTCGCCTCAGGCTCCACTGGGTCCCAGGTGGGAAGGTGTCAGTGAAGCCAGGAGGACGGCGCAGCCAGATCTCCTCGTGCAGTCGGCCCTGGAGGAACACAGTGGAGAAGTCGAGGGAGTGCAGCTCGTAGTCTCGCTGCGCTGCTATGTGGAGTAACACCCGAAGAGTAGTCATCTTCGGGGTCGGGGCGAAGGTCTGGAAGAAGTCAACTCCCTCACGCTGACTGAAACCCCTAGCCACGTAGCGCGCCTTGAACACCGGCGGTGCTCCAGGCGGCCGCTTCACCTTGAAGAGCCACATGCCATCGACTACGTTCGCCCTGGGAGGGGGAACTGCGTCGACGTAGGTGCCTGTGGATCTCCAAGACGCCAACTCTGAGTCCATAGCCGCTTTCCACTGAGAGGCCCACGCCCCTGACACTGCCTCGCGGTAAGTGCGAGGAGTCGGTATGTCAAGGGCGTCGGGGTCTCCCTCAGGGGAGAGCAGCATGGCACACACAGAGGGAGAAGCGGCTGCCCAGTACTCCAGCTCAGACTCTCTGTCCTCTAGGACGTCACAGCCAAGGGCAAACCCACCCCCGACGGACAGAGGACGGTAGGGAGGAGCTGGCACCACACGGGTGGCGTAGTCAAGGCGGCTGGCGGCAGCAAACTCAGCGACAGCGGCAGTGAGAGCCGAGACAGACGACGGAGGGAAATGAGGGTCGGTGACAAGAGTGGTGAGGACACGTGCGGCAACAGGACGAACAGCGCGGTAGTAGTCAGAGATAGGAGTGGGGAGGGCAGGTAGAGAGGACGGAGGAGGAGACGGGAGAACGGACACAGGAGAAGGAGAACGACGACGAGACGAACAAAGGAGGGCAGTGTGGAGGTCAGTAACAGGGGACGAGTGACGAGCACGCGGAGGACAACGAGTGATCAAGTCGCGACGGACAGAGGGAGGAGGAGACTGAGGAGGAGGAGAAGACCAGACCGCCGGACGGTCGTCAGGAGGAGGCAACGGAGGAACAAACACAGGAGGAGACTGGGAGCGGACAGGAGGAGAGAAGGAAAGGCCAAGGGCCCGCAAGCCACTCACAGGTGGGAACAACCGCCGCTCTAGAGGAAGCTGCGGTGGCGGCTGCGGCCGCTGCGGCTGCGGCTGCGGCTGCTGCTGCTGCTGCGGCTGCGGCTGCGGCTGCGGCTGCTGCTGCTGCTGCTGCTGCTGCTGCTGCTGCTGCTGCTGCTGCTGCTGCTGCTGCTGCTGCTGCCGCTGCTGCTCCAGAAGGTCCAGCACCCGCAGCTCCTGCCGCTCCCTCTCCAACCGCTCCTGCTCCTCACGCTCACGCCGACGGGCAGCCTGGAGACGCGTGTCGTGGCGGTGGGGGGGCGGGGTGGACTCCGCAGAACCAGGGTCTCCAGCGTCAGTCTCCTCAGACTCAGCACCCCCAGAACCAGTACCGCCAGTGCTAGGACCTCCAACTCCAGCACCCCCAGAACTAGCACCGCTAGTGCCAGCACCCCCAACTCCAGCACCCCCAGAACCAGCACCTCCAGTGCCGGCACCTCCAGCTCCAGCACCCCCAGAGCTAGCGCCACCTGCGCCAGCACCTCCAGCTCCAGCACCCCCAGAGCTAGCGTCACCTGCGCCAGCACCTCCAGCTCCAGTACCCCGCGACCGAGCACCGCCAGCGGCTGCACCTCCAGCTCCAACACCAACCGAGTCCACAGTAACCTGTCGCGGAAGTGCCGAAGGCTGCTGAGGGGACTGTGAGGAGGACTGCGGGGAGGGAGACGCTACCTGACGCACGACCGAGGGGAGAGGGGTAGCGTGGGACACACCAGACGGGGCAGGACCAGGGGGGGGCGGGGGTACCGGAGGAGCGGGAGCAGGAGGAGGAGAGGGTGCGAGGAAGAGAGGGGGAGGGGGTACCGGGAGACCTCGACAGGGGTACCGGGTGTAGTAGGACACGGACTCGTCAAACCGGACGTCACGGGAATCTAGGAACTGGTGGAGGGGAGGGTGGTAAAAGGACCAGTCAGCAGAGTCCACTGGGAAACCAAGGAAGACACAGGGGACGGCGCGTGCCGAGAGCTTGTCCGCGGAGGTGTCGCGAACAAGTGCAAGGCAGCCCCAGACTCGAAAGGCCGACCCAACACCAGGGGATCCAGTCCAGAGACTGGTCGGTGAAGCCTCGGGCCGCGAGACACGCGGCTGGAGGTTCAGCTGGTGTGCGGCGTAGCGAACCGCGTGAGGCCACAGAAAATGGGGCGCACGGGCATGAATCATGGACGTGCGGGCGATGTCCATGACCAAGCCTATGCGGCGCTCAGCAACCCCATTCTGCTGTGGGGACTCTGGCAGCGTCCAGGACTGGGTGATGCCCTGTTCGCCGCAGAATCCGCCGAGAATGCCGGAGCGAAACTCGCCCCCACGGTCGGAGTGAAGACAACTGACTCGACGACCACGAGTGCCCTCAGTGGCTAGAAGCCACCTGATCAGCGTAGCAGTCACCTCGGACTTCTTCGCAAGAGGAAACACTGTGGTGTACCTGGAGAAGTCGTCGACGACCACCAGAAAGTAGCGCTCCCTCCCAGACCCCTGCGTCGGGGCAGGGCCCCAGACGTCCAAGTGGAGAGTCTCGAAGGGAGCGGTGGCCGGACGAAGGGAGGAGGAGTGGGGAGTGGCACGTAAGCGACCGGCGACGCACGGAGAGCAAGGAGGGGCAAGCGAGGGAGGGAGCGATGGGAAGGTGCGTGGGAGACCTGTGACTAGTCCCTGACTGAGCATGCCACGAAGGCGAGGGATCGACGGGTGGCCAAGACGGTGGTGCCACAGGACGGTGCGGTGGGCGAGAGAGCGACAGGAGCAAGACGCAGCGACTGGACTGGACACAGCGACCGGACTGGACACAGCCACCTGACCGGACTCTGCTACCGGGGGGGACGAAGCAACCTGACCAGACGCAGCTACCTGCGGGGGCGGAGTGTGCAGGACGAAGAGACCTGAGTGGGGCTCTCTGGTGAACGTGGCAAGAACTGCCCCCAGTGCCCCGCCACACCACCAGTTTCACCCCACACATTTTCCTAGGGCTCGACTCGAGCTGTGGGCTGTGGCTCGGTCATGTCATGCTGCCTCCGAACCGAACAACGAACCCTATCTGTCAAATCATCAGATGCCTGTGGCTGCAGCATCTCCGCTCTGCCATACCGGGATAGGTCAGGACCTAGATGTTACCCTAGGACCAACTCCCACTACCTCGCTTGTCGCTTCCATTATCCTGAGTTCCACCTAACTAAGTTGTACGGAGCTTGCTGCCTCTTTGAACAACCCTAACTTATGCAGTTGTCACATTGCTCAAACGAAGCTTTTGCCGTGATTTGTGGTTGTCGTAGGTCAAGTGAGACCTTGATTTACGGTTTCTTCCGTAATGGTCTGGTTACCTGTCATTCAATAAATGACATAGCCACAACGTTTTCGCGACCGTGCCATCAGCTAGCCAATTCTTGGCGTCATGCTTAGCTTGACGAGACGGCTTTTAGTAGCTCATTGACTGCAATCATGCAGCGGACAGACTCATTCTCTCGGCGCTTTAAGGGGGATGCGGAATTGACCGCGGCTCCTGCGTATCCTCGCAGCCGCAGCACCGGTCAGTCCAACAGCTTCGCTCACAGACAAGCCGATGGGGATTACAACAGCTACGGTAACTACGAGCCAGATGCCGGTGGTGACAATTTCGATTTTGAGGAGACCACGTGGTCTCCCGCTCTCTCGTCGGGCGGCGAGGTTGCGCGAGATCGACCCACTCGTAACAACCATCGCCGAACGCTGTCCGTGTCGTCCGCGCTGCGCCCTCAGATCTACCACAACTTTCACGACGCTGGCGAGAACCAGAGCGTAGGTGGGGCCGTGCTGGGACTCTACGGAGAGCTGGGCAGCGCGGAAGGGGAGCTTTTGCGGCAGCGCAGCGAGCAGGCCACGAGGATCCCGGGATCGTCGTCCACTCCTAACGCGTATGGCCACAGGGCCCGGTCGTCGCTCGCGGCGTCGCTGGACGGCACAGGCAGCAGCAGCATGGGGAGCGGCCGGAGCGGCATCGGTAGCGGCATCGGTAGCGGCATCGGAAGCGGCATTGGAAGCAGTGTGGTGGACAGCGAGGCGCTGTTCGCGGCGATGCGGGGGCGGCATCTGGGCGCGGGATCCGCGAGCATGGATGTGGTGCGGCTGGCGGACGCCGCAGGGAGGGACCTGGGGGGGAGGTACGATAGCGTGGGTGGCGGCAGGTATGGCGGGAGCATACGGCTGGGAGGAGGGGAGGGGCCAGGGGAGGGAGTGCTGCGGAGGGTGCTGAGTCACAGAGAGAGTGACTTCGCCAACGGTCATGCGGGGCGACAGGACGCTTGGTCGGATCTGTCCACTGATCCGGTACGAGCAGCATCGCTTTTCGCTTTGGTAGCTTTTTTTCGATTGTTATTTTTGTTTCCGTTGTTGCCCATGCGACGTCAGCGAGTCCCCGTTCCTCCTTCCCGGCATGTCGTCTACAGGTTCGGAGTGCCCTTAATGCTAGTCTGCTCGTTGCCGCACAACCCACTCCCCCTTTCCCCCAGGCTTCCTTTTCCGCTAGCTCGTGGCGGGGCGGAGCGGACAGCTTCGCGGACCTCGTGGGGAAGCCCGGCGTAGGCTCGTCGACTCTGGACTTTATCGATGACGGCATGGGGATGGGCGCAGGGGGGGGGGGCGGGAAGGCGCATGGGCGCAGAGGAACTCCTGGGGCTGGCGGGGGAGCTCAGGCAAGGCAGAGGCGGGGGATTTGGCGGAGCTGGCGCGGGCATGCTGGGGTTCGCGGACGATAATTTGGGAGGGGGAAGCGGAGGGGGCGTCGGAGGCGGGGGAGGGGGACTAGTGGGGGGAGCGGGCGCGGGGATGAGTGGGGGGGGCGGGGCGGGGGTGCAGCTGAAGGCGGTGTTGAAGCTGGTGGAGGCAGCGCACGCCAACGACGCGGCGCTCGTCAACAGCGTGCTGCAGGAAGCCTCGTCGCGCACCGCGCTGCTCAACGCTCTGCACCCAGGTGACGCTCGCTCTCACCGCACTGCACCCAGGCAACTCTGCCGTTCTGCGTGTGAGGAGTTGTGGCGTTCTTTCTTGTGCCTACATTCCCCGTCCCCCTCTTACTCCCTCCTGCCCGCACAGCTGCATCCTCGCCCACCTTCCCACATCCTCTGACTTTCCCCCATCTCCCATCTCCCTCCCCTCTCCTTTCCCCCGTTCTCCTTCACCACCTGTGGGGCGCTCTTCCCCGACCCCTGCGCGCGCGTGGGCTCCATGGCTGCAGCGACGGGGAGGACGGCGCTGCACGAGGCGGTGGTGGCGGGCAGCCTGGACGCGGCGGCGCTGCTGCTGGAGTGGGGGGCGGACCCCGACGGGGGCACGGCCGCCGCGGAGGTGAGGCACGCGCGCGCCCTGGCGCGGGAGCATGCACGGCCGGCCAAGGGCATGGGCGGTTCCATAATGGGAGGTTCCATATTGGGGGGTTCCATAACGGGGAGTTCCATAGTATCTCCTTCCTCCTCCCGCTCCAATGCTGTACCCTCCTCCTTTCTCCCCACAACCCAACACCCACCTGAATGCGCTCTCTCCGCCCCTCACCCTCCCCTCGGAACGCACTGGCGAGCAGGGAGGGCAGTCGCCGCCGCTGATGTCGGCGGTGCAGGCGGGCAGCGAGGAGGCGGTGCGGCTGCTGCTCACCAACGGCGCGGACATCAACGCCACGGACGCGCGCCTCTGCTCCGCGCTGCACTACGCCTGCGCCACCGGCCACAGGTGCGTGGGCGCCAACATGAACGCGTGAAACCAACCATCTCTGTGCGCGTCCCCACTCCCTCATCCATTTTCACCAACCCCCATCTCCCACAACCACCCCCCCTTGTCTTCCACATCCGCCCCCACCCTATCCCTCCCCTTCCCCCCCTCCTTCTCCACTCCCCTCTCTCCTCCCACCTTCGTTCCCTCTTTCCCCCCTTTCTCCCCCTCATCAGGAGCATAATAAAGCTGTTGCTGGTGGCGGGCGCCAACATGTACGCGCGCAACAGGGACGGGCTGCTGCCACAGGAGCTGACGTCGTCGGACCGCATCGGCGCCCTCTTCCGCAAGCTGCACGACTACCACCAGCGCTGCGCCGCCCCCGACTCCGCCTCCCCCGCCGCCGCCCCCCTGGACGCCGCCACACGCGCGGGCGCGCTCGGGGGATTCCGCCAGGGGGAAGCCTTTGCGGATGGGGACTTGCTTTCAGGGGATTTGGGAGGTTCGGATCTGCTGGGAGGCTCGGAGGGAGGCTTGGGGGATATTGGCGGGTTTAGGCCTGAGCTGGGGCGGTCTGGGTCGGGGAGACGGTTGGGGTTGGGTTTGGGTGGGGAGGGGGAGGAGGATGGGGGAATGGGGGGAGAGTTTGAGGGGATTGCAGGGGGCGGGGGGAGGAGTCAGAGGGGCGCAGCGTGGCTGGCGGAGCTGAGGGCGCGGACTGGCTTTGATGCAGGCGATGGGGGCAGGGACGGTGGCGGAAACAGGGAGCTGCTGCGGTGCGTCAGCAGCAACAGCGGCAGCCAGGGCTTCGGGCACAGCAACAGTCTGAACCAGAACCAGAGCGAGAGACCCCAAGCCCCGCACCAGCGCCACTCGCAGCAGCAGAGCTATGGCAGTGGCAGCGGCAATGGCAGGGAGGGGAGGGGGGAGGGCGCGGAGTGGCTTGGGGGAGAAGGGCTGGAGAGTAAGGAGGAGCTGTTTCAGAAGGCGTGGGAGCATGACAGGGATGACGATACCACCTCGCCCACCTTCCCCCTCTCCATTGCTCCCACCGGTGCTGGTAGGGCAGGTGGGGATCAGCACGGTGGGCAGGAGAGGGGAGGGGTGCGCGGTGTGGGGGGGGGGAGGAGAGGGGAGGACGGGCGGGAGTGTGACAGCTCGAGTGAGACAGACGGCGGTGGCGAGCGGAGGAGACGCGTGGGTGTGCGGCGTGCAGGGAGGTTAGGGGGGGCAGCGGCAGGGCAGGCTGGTGGGGGAACAGCAGCAGGTGCAGGGGCAGCAGGGGCACGGGGTCAGACACAGGGGCAGGGACAGGGACAGGCGCAGGCACAGGGGGGGGCACAGGCGCAGGCGCAGGGGCAGGGGGGGCCAGCGCACACGGTGTCCCAGCCGCATCTGCGATACCATCGCACTCTCAGTGACTCAGGCCACCGCCCCTCGCCCTCCCCAACCTCGCTCTCCCCCCTGCTCGCCAGCAGCCCCAGCCACAGCTCCCCCGGCAGCACTACCTCCCCTGCTGGAGGCTCGGACTGCCACTCCGACGCCGACGGACCAAACTCCCAGGTTCGGCGGTCCCGAACCGCAAGCCCAGCCCCGGGAAACTCCGCAGGGCGTTCGGTAGGAGGCCGGGGGGGAGGGGGAATGGATGGGCGGGGAGGGCGAGGAGGGAGGGCGGGAGTGGGCCTCATGGGAAGGGGGGTGCGAGCAGGGAGGCATGCGCGGTCTCAGTCTGTCAGCCTTGACGGGTCTCACAGAGGCGGCATTCCCTTGGGCCCGCAGGGCGCTGTTCAGAGCAGAGCAGGCGCAGAGGCGAGGCGAGCAGCAGCAGCAGGGGGGGCTGGGGGCAGGAGAGACGGCGCTGTGGGCACAGGAACTGCCGCGGGGGCGGGGGGTGCGCCTTCTATCGAGTCTGGCGGGGGCGGAGGTGACGATGGTGTGGGGTTAGATGCGGTGGAAAGGGGTTCGAGCGAGAGGGGGTCGAAGCTGGAGAACTTTCGTCTGGACGCACAGTATGGGTCGGAGACAGAGGGCAGGCGGGCACCAGACGCCAGGCCGCTGCTGCGAGTGGGCAGTCTGGGGGAGCGACACATAGAGAGCATGCGAGCGGTGGCAGCGGAAGGGGTGGGGGTAGGGCTGGAAAGAGGCAACGGCAGGCAGCAACAGCAGCATGTGAGGGATCTCAGGCTGACTGGTGCGTTGGGTAGTGACAAGGGCAGGGAGAGAGGGGGCGCGAGGGAGCGAGGGGCGGATGGAGGGGGCGAGGTGTCGACGAGTGATACTGAAGTGTCGGTAAAGACGCCGCTCTCCGCCCGCCTGCCGTCCGCGCACGCGTCGGGTGGGTGGCGGCGAGCGTCTTCAGTGCGCGGGGAGATTCTGACGGACGGCGAGCGGGCGGCGATGGGGGAGAGGAAGGCTCTGCAGCCGTCAGGGCAGGGTAAAGGAGGGGGGCCTGCACCTGCCGCCTCTGCTTCTGCTTCCGCTTCTGCTGCTGCTAATGGCAGTGCTGAAAAGGCAAGTGGTGCGAATGCTGCTAGCACCAGTGCTGCCACCAGCCCGAGTGGTGCAAGCGCTGCTGCTGCTGGAGCTTCTGCTGGCAGTGCTGGTGGTGCTGCTGCTGCAGGTGCAGGCGGGAGTGGGAGCCACACTCCAGTGGGCAGAAGCATCAGCAGCAGCGGCGGCACGTCAACCGCATCCCGCCCCCCTCCCCGCGTGCGCAAGTCCGTGTCCTTCGCCCTGCCCTCCGCAGGCGACGACGGCTCCCCAAACCAGCATGGGCGGCAGAGGGGCGAGAGCGAGGGCGAGAGCGACGGGGGGTCGGGGAAGGAGGAGACGGAGAGTGGCAGCGAGGGAGGCGGGGTGAGGCGGCACCGGCGGTATGGGGACAGGCGGATGTCTCCCCGCCCTCCTGTGTCCCCTCGCAGGCGAGCAGCCGTTGCTGCTGCTGCTGCTGCAGGGGGGGTTGCAGGGCATGGGAAACCGGGCGCAGGAGGGGATAAGGAGGGGGAAGAGAAGGGTGACGCGGCGGGCAGAGGGAAGGTGTCGTCTGGTGCTGGTTCCCCCTCGTCTCCCTCCTCGCCTGCTACCTCCTCCCCCTCTGCGCCCTCCCCTTCCGCCTCCCCGGCCAACCAGTCCTCCCCCCTGGCCTCCCCCGTCACCCCCTCGCCCCGCTCCCCTTCCACAACTTCCGCTTCGCCTCTTTCTGGCAAGGCGGATGGCAGTGGGGAGGGCCGGGAGGAGAGGGGCGCAGAGAAGCAGGCAAAGGCAGGGGAGAAGGGCGGAGGTGGGGACGGGAAGGCGAGCAAAGAGGCAGTGGGGGAGGAAGGGAAGAAGCAGGAGGGTGAAACAGGGCATGAGAAGGGTGGGAAAGGGGAGGGGCGAGCAGAGGAGGGCAGTGCAGGTAGTGGCAGTGAGGGGAATGAAAGTGACGGCAAGTCCCCCTCCCCTTCCTCCTCTTCCGCCACCACCGCCAGCACCACCACCACCACCTCCACCTCCTCCTCCTCCTCTTCCTCCTCCTCCTCCTCCTCCTCCTCCTCCTCCTCCTCCTCCTCCTCCTCCTCCTCCTCCTCCTCCTCCTCCTCCTCCTCCTCCTCCTCCTCCTCCTCCTCCTCTTCCTCCTCCTCCTCCTCCTCCTCCTCCTCCTCCTCCTCCTCCTCCTCCTCCTCCTCCTCCTCCTCCTCCTCCTCCTCCTCCTCCTCCTCCTCCTCCTCCTCCTCCTCCTCTCCTTCCACTGCCACCACCAGCGCCACGTCAACGACCACCTCTGCCAGCGTGGCAAAGGCCCTGGCAGACTCAGCGTCAGTGTCCATGTCAGCATCGCCGCTGGGCACGCTCAAGTGGAAGAAGGGCGACCTGCTGGGGGAGGGCGCCTTTGGCAAGGTGAGGCGCAGGGGGAGCGCATGGTGGGTCTGGGGGAAGGAGGTGAGGGGAGGGGTAGATGAGGGCAAGGGCTTGTGAGGGCAGAGGGGGCCTGCAGGAGGGAAAGGGGAGAGGTTATAGCAAGGGGTGCAGATGCGCGCCATAGAGAGTGTGGATACGCTTCGTACTGCCCCTATTGCTTTCCACTGCCTCCCCCACCTCCCTCCCCACTCCCATACCCACTCCCATTCCCACTCCACTCATGTCCTCTCCAATTCCCCCTCCCATTCCCCACTCAACCCCCCTCCACCCCATTCATCACTGCCCACCCATCTCCAACCCATTCCACCCCACCCAAACCCCCTTTCCCCCCTCAACACAGGTGTTCCTGGGGCTGAACGAGATGACGGGAGAGCTGATGGCGGTGAAGCAGATCAAGATGACGACGGCGGGCGATGAGAAGGCGATGCTGATCGCGTCCCTGGAGCGCGAGATCGTGCTGTACCGCCAGATGCGCCACCGCCACATCGTGGGGTACATTGACATGGAGAAGGACGAGGCCGACGGCTCCATCTATATCTTCCTGGAGCTTGTGTCAGGGGGATCGCTGCACAGGTGAGGGAAGACGCCTGCAGAAGATCCTGTTTTTTTAGATGTCTCAGAAGCGGGATCGTGCTGTATCAGGCGATGCGGCACCGGCGCATCTTGGGGTACAGGCGAGGGGAGCTGGCTGCAGTATGTATCCTTTGCACTCTTCCTCGGCCGCCTCCCTCGTTGCTTCTTGTAGAATTTTGGCAAGATGATCGAGTTGCTGGTGTGGGTCTACCTTCATGCCTGGCCTATTTCCAACTTCTCCCCGTCCACACTCTCCTCTCTCCCCTGCATCTCCCCCCCTTTTTTCTCCTCCTGCCAGCATGTTGGAGAAGTTTGGCAAGTTCAGTGAGTCGCTGGTGCGAGTGTACACGCGGCAGCTGCTGCTGGGGTTGGAGTATCTGCACGGGTGCAAGATCATCCACCGCGACATCAAGGGTGGCAACGTGCTCGTGGACCGCGATGGGGTCATCAAGCTCGCTGACTTTGGCGCCTCCAAGGTGAGACATGGATGGCGATTGGTTGCAAAAGGGAGATGGGGCGAATGGGGTGGGGTGGGGCGATTGTGATGTGCTGCTGGGACTGGGCTGCAGCAAGATGATTGCACATGGCATCAGGGCCAATGTCCTCATGTCTCCAAGATGCTCATCAAAGTGTCTCTCTCTGTGCTGCACAATTTCCTTCTTTGGATGTTTTGCCTGTGCTTCTGGCACTGTCTTGATTGCAGCCCCTCGCTTCGTCCCTCCCCTCCTCCCACAACCTTCCCTTACCTTCCCCTTCTCCCCCCCCCCCCCCCCCCCCCACGCCCCCCCCTCCCAGGCGTTCCATGAGGGCACGGTGGGAGAGGGGTGCAAGTCGATCCGCGGGTCGGTGTTCTGGATGGCGCCCGAGGTCATCAAGGGCGAGGGGTACGGCCGCCGTGCCGACATCTGGAGCCTCGGCTGCACCGTTATTGAGATGCTCACTGGCAGGTGAGAGCAGTGCGGGCAGTGGAGTTGGGTAAGGTTGGGTGAGGTTGGGCTGGGTGTAGTTGTCTGACATCTGGAGCCTCGGCTGCGCCGTCATTGAGATGGGTGGTCGGGTCATTGGCAGGTGATGGGTGCTCCTTTGTAGGTGAGGGGTCCGTCATTGCCCCTACTGCTCACTTCCCACATGTCTTTCCTCCACCTCGTTTCCTCGATATTCACTTGTCATAAAACACTCCTTTCTCCAACCCTCTCCCCGTCCCCACCCCCTCCCCCGGCCTGCACCCCCATGACCCCTCCGCAGCCACCCATGGCCGGGAATGGACAACACGTGGTCGGCCATCTTCCACATCGCCAAGACCACCACGGGCCCGCCCATTCCCGAGGGCATATCGGACGAGGGCCGCGAGTTCCTGGAGGCGTGCTTCCACATAGAGCCCTATGATAGGCCCTCCGCCACCGAGGTGAGATGGGGTGCATTTCGTGGACCGCGTCACATAGATGTGTTTAGAGCAACCGCTTGTGGCGTGTGGGCCTATGAAGCTATGAACACACTTGACATTAAGACTTCCTGGGGCTGTGCTGAGTGCTACCGTTTGTTTCCTAGTGTGCAAGTTTGGGTCTTTCCCTCCTCAAATGTGCCCTGTTTTTTCCCCCGTTTCCATGACAGCTTCTAAAGCTACAATTTGTTCAAGTTCCTGACACCCCTAGGGATGCGCGCATGGCGCAATTTCTCTGACAACAACACTAATTTGTGTTACTGCGAAGATTCTGCCAATGGTGTAATTTATTTATAAATGTATGGCACTCACATAGTCACCAAAGTACTCTCTTACGATACGAGTCAGGGTGTAGAGATCTAGTGTTTTCCACCCTGCTTGGCCAGGAACGCTGCTTCTCAGATGCCATGATTTTGGTGGAGCTGGTGATGATTGCAATTTCGAAAATCACCATCGCCCACCATCAGACCCCTGTCGTACCGCGTGGTTGAGAGAAATTGCGTTGCGGGAAACCAGGGTTGTAAACCAGCTGTGTGGTCGGTTGTGCACTGTACGAGGTTTTCGTTTTCGCCAGAGAATTCAGACGGTCGCTCAGCCAGTCATCACAACGGAAGCTGCGTTGGACCACGCATCAGATGACTTCGACCGTGACGTGTGCTCTGCTCATTTAACGACTCTTCGCACTCAGAAAGGTCAATTCCGTGCCCTTCGAGAAACCAAGAATCGCTGTTGGTGGTTCATGGGAATTTCGAAAGGTGGATGAATCTGCGATGTCTCCCACGTGGCAGTTCAGATGAGCGGTTTCGAGGCACGTCACTACCGTAGATTGTCGCACAGCATCTGGCGCAATCATTCGCGCAATCCCCCCGTCGCCTTGGACCTCCATCTTTCTCCTCGGGTAATTACATTCTGGGTAACCAACATCGAGCCCGCTGACGTCAAAAGTCACCTACGTGGCTCGATGGTACCCGTCAGATCATGCGCACCCCTTGGTGGTACCCATCTTCCCTCCGTGGTACCCATCTTCCCTGCGTGGTACCCATCAACTGTGCGTGAATTCCCTGACTGGTACCGCAACATTTCAACCGAGCTGTACACCGTACAACAAGGGTTTCAATGCGATTTTCACTATATTATACCAACGTTTTCTGTCTGCAATTGAACATTAATACATTTGAACATTAATACCTTTGAACGTGCCTTACACTGGATAGAGTGCAACCTAGAAAAAATAAACTCCCCTTCTAAATTCCTCACGTTACCTCCGAACCTTTGTAAGCTCACATCACTGAGCGATAGGTAGCGTGGATCTTACGACCATGTTTCTCAGCGCGCAGTTGGTAATCTGAACAAAGTTCATAAGTTTGTATGCAAATAAATTGAGCATGTACCCCCACAGCTAAATAGAAAAGCATAAACAAATAATACGTACATTCGTTGGTTTCTGGAAACAAAACAATACCCATTAATGAAAATCAAATAACCTTAAGTCAATATATATATTACGTGTCAGTTGATCGTTTGTTACACGGATGTTATTTTTTGTGTTTCGGTTGATGCAATATACCTGTGGTGATTTAAATTATAGCACGTTATAATGTGGATGTTTATGAGCCTAAAGAAATCTACACAATAAATGTTTTCCTAAATTCAGCTTTTCTTCTACACTTTATTATAGGTAATGCGCTTGAAAATTTGACCCGATTATGTGGCACTTCGGGCTTCGGACTCTATTGAGATTGTAAACGTTAAGACAATATAGTGAAAAACGCATTGACACCCTTGTTGTACGGTGTACAGCTCGGTTGAAATGTTGCGGTACCAGTCAGGGAATTCGCGCACAGTTGATGGGTACCACGCAGGGAAGATGGGTACCATGGAGGGAAGATGGGTACCACCAAGGGGTGCGCATGATCTGACGGGTACCATCGAGCCACGTAGGTGACTTTTGACGTCAGCGGGCTCAATGTTGGTTACCCAGAATGTAATTACCCTTTCTCCTCAGCTATGCAACCCGTAAATTCGCTCCTCAGCTTCATCACCCTTATTTTCTCACATCGCTTCTTCTTGCTTCAGGACCAGCAGTCAACTCTTCATCCATCGGTCGTAGCATCCTAGTTTCTAGAGCCGTGTAGCTGCAGTTTTCTCCACGTGTCGTTATTTGAACCATCGTCGATCTTCTTATCAACCCCTGCAAACGCGATGGGAACTCTTCACGAGACAAATCCCTGCCATCACTCCCTTGGCACCATCTTCGCGTCAATTCCCGACGAGGTTTCCCACGAAGCGCTACTGCGTCTCCCACGCCACCTGCACGGCGCGCTCAAGACCGTCTCCAAGTCCTGGAGCTCCGCCGTGTCCAGCGGAGCGTTCTTCCAGGCGCGAGAGGCGGCGGGTGTGGTCGAGGAATGGCTCTTCGTGCTCCCAGAGGACCCCGACCAGGGCGCGTTCCGCGCCTTCGACCCAAACTCGCACTCATGGCACGCCGTGCCGCCCATTCCCGGCCGTTCCAAGAACGAGGGGCTTTCGGAATTTGCGACGGTGGCGGCGGGTGGGAAGATGTACGTCCTTGGCGGCTGCGAGCGTGTGACGTCAGCATCGCCTTCGGGGTTGAGCGGTGCAGGAGTCGCGACGGCGCGGGTGCGCGTGTTCGACCCCGTCGCGTGGCGCTGGGACTTCTGCGCGCCGATGAGCGAGGCGCGCATCTCGCCGGCTGCAGAGGTGCTGGACGGCCGTTACATCGTGGTTACGGGAGGGCAGGGCCGACACGCGTTCCTGCGATCCGCCGAGGTTAGTCTCATCTCAGCGTTGATTGGTCAATCGGAATCGGAAGATACCTCACAATTGTGCCGTGAACGAGTGTGAAGGATCGTGGTGTATTAAGTTTATCTGTTCTTCCTCTCATCATTCCCCACGGTCCCAAAATCGGATTCAGATTTTCGACGTGTACACCGGTGAATGGCGGAGCATCAGCGCGATGCACGCCGTGAGATGCGGGCACCGCTCCGTGGTGCTCGGGGGGCAGCTGACGGTGATCGCGGGGGAGGTGCAGCGGCACGACAGTTCTACTGCTGACGTCATGGGCTTACGTCATGACGGAGACGGACACGCGCGCGAGAGCACGGCGTCAATCGAGGTGTACGACCGGCAGAGCGACCGGTGGGACCTGGTGCCCAACGCGTGGATCGACGACGGCAAGGTGAGCCACGGGCGAGCGACAGGGGAACGAAGGGGGAGCGGGGGGGTAAGGAGAGTTAGGGGAAGCGACGCGTGGGGAGAGTTTTAGTCAGTCTCTGGCCCTCCAGAACTGCATGTTAACCGATTGACGCAGCAACGTCGGACGTTCAGTCGAGCACCCGCATTAGATAGAAATACCGCAGTCCAGAATCCTCACCGCGCTTGCCTCTCCTCCCCGCTCTTCCTCCCTCTTCCCCGCAGATCCCGGGCCCCATGGCCGTGCTCAATGGCGACCTCTACGCCGTCCACCAGTCGCGCCTCGTCGTGCGCGACGCCGCCACGGGCGAATGGCGCAAGTGCGGGCCTATTCCCTCTCTCCACGTCAGCAGCACGGGCGTCGGCAGCTTCGGGCGGCAGAACAGCGCCACGCGTGGTGTCGGCATGATTGCCTTCCAAGGGAAGCTGTTTTTACTCGGCGGCGCGCGGGACGCGTGGGGCCATGGCGGGAGGGTGGGTTTGGAGGAAGTGTTTTGCTGGGACCCCGAGGAGGAGGGCAGGCGCGGGCGTGAGGAGGAGGCGCGCAGGCCCAAGGGTCTGGTCGCGCCCATGTTCATGCGCCCCAGCGAACGGCTTCTCAACTGGCACGCCGTGGGGGGCATGGGCGGCGGGAAGGGCGCCATTCTCGGGTGCGCCGTGCTGAGAGTGTAACTCCGAATGGGTAGATAAGGGGGTGAGGGGGGGGGGAGGAGGGGCGCGCAGGGGCGAAAGGGCTAGGAGAGAGCAGGTAACAGGGAAGAAAAAGGAAAAGAATCTGTTGATATGGTAACAGCAGCAGAGGGTCGCAGACGGTGTGAGACAGCAGGTGTGAGCAGCAGTTGTGTGTACAGGCCACACTGACAGAGCTGGTGTGTGCTGCCCGCCCCCGCGAGGAGTGTGTATGGCAGCAGCACCGCGGGAGATTCCAAGATGTCACGACCATTGCATGAGTGCATGAAGCAGAAACATGCCTGTGAGCCTGGTAGCACCGTTACAACACCTGTGGAGGCTTTGCACACCTTCACGCTTGACTCAGGCGCGACTCGCTGCTTCTTCCGTGACTGCACCACAATCACACCGCTCACTGCACCTGTCCCGGTCAGTCTGGCTGACCCCTCTGGGGGCCCAGTCGTAGCACGTGCCTCCACCGTTCTCCCGTGTCCGGCAGCTCCCTCAGGCTCCCTCACATGTTTCCACCTCCCCTCGTTCTCTAAGAACTTGGTGAGTAACGCTGTCCTCCAGGACCAGTTTGTCACTGTGAATACTCCTGGGGGTGAGCTTGTGGCGATCTATACGGACTCACGCACTAGCGAGCACCTCGCCACTTTCACTCGGAGCCCTGGGTCTGGCCTGTACACACTGACCACTGAGTCCGCACAGGTAGCTGCGTCGGGTCAGTTAACCGCGTCTTGTTCGTGCCGGCTACTCTCGCACCAGACTCTCCTCTGGCACCACCGTCTTGGTATGCACTCTCGTCTCCTTGTCTCTGGCCTCCCTAGGTCCCTGCCCCTGCTCCCGCGCTCGCTTGCACCGCCGTGCCTTCCCTGCGTCGAGGGGCGGCAGCGCGCTGCTTCTCACTCCTCCTCATTTCCGCCGACCACTGCTCCTCTGCAGACTCTCCACATGGACGTGTGGGGCCCAGCCCGCGTCCGTGGACAGGACCAGGAGCGCTACTTTCTGCTGATTGTTGACGACTACACGCGCTACACCATGGTCTTCCCCTTGCGGAGCAAGGCGGATGTCCACAATGTTTTGATCGACTGGATCATCGATGTTCGTCGCCAGCTGAGCGCTCGGTTTGAGCAGGACCTCCAGGTCCTGCGACTGCACTCTGACAGAGGCGGTGAGTTTTCCTCCGGCCTCTTTCGGGACTTTTGTCGTGCGGAGGGCATCGTCCAATCGTTCACGCTTCCGGCCTCTCCACAGCAGAATGGGATTGCTGAGCGTCGCATTGGCTTAGTCATGGAGGTTGCTCGCACCTCCATGATCCATGCCGTTGCTCCCCATTTTCTGTGGCCGTTTGCGG